ACTGTTCTCACAGACCGCGAGACCGCCATAGCAAAGGAATGTCTTGCGCGAGATGACCGCCGACGTGCACTGCTGGCTCTTCGACGCAAGAAATATCAAGAAACACTCCTAAGTAAAACAGATGCGCAGCTGGAGCAGCTGGAGCAGCTGACGAGTCAGGTGGAATTTTCCTTAGTCCAGAAGGATGTTCTCTTTGGCTTGCAACAGGGAACAAAGGTGCTCCAAGCTATCAACAAGGAAATGGGGGGTATCGAAGGTGTAGAGAAGCTGATGGGCGAAACTGAAGAAGCCAGGGCCTACCAAGAGGTAAAGAGACGTGGAGTTAAACCCTGCGAATGGGGCAATCGTTGTGCTAACCACATGCCGTTACAGGAAATTAGCCAGATGCTTGCGGGCCAGTTGTCGAACCAGGATGAAGACGAAGTTGAGGACGAGTTGGAAAAGTTACGCCAAGAGACAGAGGCCATCACCTTGCCAAAGGTCCCTACCGCTCCTCCAGTTATGGCCGAGGGCGAAGAAGGCGACCAAGAGGAAGTGGAGATTTCAGCCGCCAGGATGAAGACGCGTACCGCAGTTCCTGCTTCCTGATGAATGCATTACATACGTTTCCGCCGATCTCATTATATATATATAGCAGAGATACAAGCATTTTCGGGCGCTGGTGGTTTTGTCCCTCTTTCGCTGCTCTCTTCTCTGCAGATAGTACACAGCCATGACAGTTTAAAACTTGCATTGGTAGTATTCGCGGTCGAAGTGCGGTTACTATACAGCAGACTCGAGTTCCATGTCATTAGTTTCATTCGAAATCATGTACATAATCTAGTTGAGTCATGCCATAAAGCAACGTGACAGGCATGGGAACAGTCCTATATTAGCTATCTGTCGGCCAGTACGCCGTCTTTTCCAGCCATGGAGCTGAACAAATCATTGACCAGGCATTACTCTCCCTCCTACACCGCTGACACCCGGAATGGCTACATGATCGCTAGGGTTTGCAGCAGCTTCGTAGAGGAAACTGACCGGTTCACGGTTCAGAGCCATATACTGGCCTTTAAAACCGATATATCCAACTTTGGTCACATCCTCTTCTCCCCCGCTCCAGTTGTCCTCGAAAAACAAGGTGATCGAAGTAGTCGCATTCCAATGAGCGCGATTGAGGGGCAGCTCAAAAACGTCAGACCCAGGAACTGGCTGTGGGATCTCGATTGTTTGTGTGGGTGTCAAATCTGAGGCAGTTGCGAAATCCAGGTCATTCCGGTTCTTGAAGAGCTTCAGGGTTTTGGGCGCAGACGGTGTGGGTGCAGTGTAGATTAGCAAGGAGTGCAGTTTCACTTGCCCAGTGAACCTGTAGTACCATGGATATTCAGCATTACTTCATCCCCACAGCTTTTCTGGCAGAGCTGGCTTCTGTGGAACTGGTGCGTTTTGCGACAATCGAGCATTGATAAGATGAGGGGCAATCAGCGGGGTAAAGCAAAAACGCGAGAATGATCGGAGAGACGGCCAGCAGAGATTCAAGTGGAAGTAATAGAGGTCGAGACGTACGGGATATACATTAAGAGCTGCTCATCCGCATCACTTTCGAGTTCGGGCTCATCATTTAATCGGTCAGCCCATGTTTTCTGCACAATAGCAGCTCCTGATTTGGGCGTTGCTTCTGCGTTTTGCATCAACAACCGTCCGCTAACGACCATATAAAGAGCTACCGTTATGCATACCGTTCAGTGTGGTAATAGCATCGAAGGCGATCTGCGAGTAAAGAAGGGACTGAATGGCAGGGGTGATATCGTTTGAATGATCATGTCCATCCTCTCCATGGCAATGTCCGCCATGGTCATGATGGTGGTGGTGATGTCCTGGCATTTTTATGCCAAGGCGAGAGGGATATCAGAATGTTTCTATTGTTAGTTTGTATTTGAGATGACGAACGATTGTTGAACAAAATTTGAGAGTATTGTGTTGATCTTGAGAGGAGGCGGACCTTCTATGATTCCGGGGTGTAATGCTTGTCAACTTTGGAACATTCGAAGATCCCCACGAAATGGAAATCACTGAGATGATCTACCATGTTCTCCCTCCATCCATACTATCTATGGAGATTATTCATCTCCTGGGTATCGTCATACGATATCAACATTTACTCTTGCCACACTGCACGAATCGCAATATCGCGGTGTCAACAATATGCTCCATTATACACACGGTCTATCACGAAGCTTGTGTCTACTGATTGAGACTATATGGCAATGAAGCTCTGCACATTGCCTGCTAGCTTGCACTCTCGGGTTATCAGCACCCAGGCTCGACGATCCACAGAGAGGAATCGAGTCACTGGACTTTGTAAAAATCCGGCGCATACTCGAGCAGGTAGCTCTTCTCGATCTTGGTGATGTCACGAATGTATGTTTTCTCACCGGTTTGCAATATCTCATGGAAGATGACCCAATCTGCTTTGCGGTTCTAAATATAAATCAGTCAGTAAATGGGAGAAGTATGGTGACAGAGGCTGACAATGGCAAGTACGTACAAACATTAAGGAAGTGGGATGCGCATGTAGAGTAAGCCCTCCGCTGACCGTCTTGAAAGTCCCATCTGGCTGCATTTTTGCAGCATGTGCGAAGTAGCCAGTCGTCAGACATCTTTGAATTTGTTCGGCCGGTCTGGCTAGACCAGCCGTTCCGTGGCGACCAGAGAGAGTTTCATCCACTTGAAACCCAAAGCGCTCAAGGTAGCGTTTTAATTGAGCTCTTATGCTAACAGCCCGTTGCATCGACCGATGGTTTAAGAGATTATCCCGACACCATTTGGGGTCTTTCTTTCCTTTCGTGACAAACGCCTGGTACACATTGAGGTAGGTCAAGTGATCCCCTTCTTCAACGGCAAACTTTCTGCGGCTGGTCTCCGCGGACTTCTTATCGCCTTCATGTTGCACCCACACAGAACCTTGGAGACTGATCATAGCAGCGATGGAAAGGATCTCACTCAAACAGTTGAAGGATCGCGCGCTGAGAAGGACTTTTGCCAACATGGGATCTAAGGCGAGTTCGGCCATTCGCATCCCCAATGGATTGGTAAGTTTCGCATAGTCATCGACTGCTCCAAGCGAGTATAGAAGCTCACAGGCACGTATCACTAAGTCCGCAGGAGGAGGTGTCAAGAAATCGAATCGTACTATATTGTCAATACCCAGGGCCTTGAGCTGCATGATCACAGGGGCCAGGTTCGAGCGTTGGATTTCAGGAACGGTAGCGTCTGGTAATCTTTCGTAGGCCTGCTGAGTATACAGACGGAAGCACTTGCCTGGCTTCGTTCTACCAGCGCGACCTGCTCGCTGAACAGCGGCTGCTTTTGATATCGGAACAGCCGTCAATGTCTCTATGCCTGTGCTTGGATTATAGGCTCTGAGCTTGGCAAATCCGCAATCGACGACATATACTATACCGTTGATAGTGACTGAAGCTTCTGCGATGTTGGTCGACACGATGACCTTGCGTGTTTTTTCTGGGGCTGGCTCGAAGACGTACATCTGCTGATCCGTTGTGAGACCAGAATAAAGAGGAAGCGGTAGAAGAGCTGGTGTTTTAGGATGCAGGGTAGCAGCGCGTTCCGTTATCAATTGGATCGTGGTCTCGATCTCCTCTCGGCCAGTCAGGAAAACCAAAATATCACCGTCTTCTTCTTGCAAATGTATGTCAAATACAGTTTTGACGGCTCGTTCCACATAATCTTCTGCTGGGTGTTCGAGGTACAGAATGTCGACAGGATACATTCGTCCCTCAAGACTAATAATTCTTCCGATGCTTCCTCCCATTTCGCCGGCCTCTCCGTCGCCCTGAAATTCATCCCCGGCGAAGAATTTCAGAAAGTCTTCAGCTTGCAAAGTCGCACTACTGACCACGATCCGGAGCTCGGGCCGTCTCTTCATGATCTTTTTGAGTATTCCAAGAAGAATATCGGTACTCAGTGATCGCTCATGTGCCTCATCGACCATAATAACTGAATACCGAGAAAGAAGAGGATCTACGAGAACCTCTCGGAGCAACATTCCATCAGTTAGGAACTTGATTCTTGTTGAAGCAGATGTCACGTCTTCAAAACGAATCGAATAACCCACTTCTTCGCCTAATTTGCAGCGCATCTCCTCGGCCACTCGAGCTGCGACAGTGGTGGCAGCCACCCGACGCGGCTGTTGCCAGCTTAGCAATCACATACTGACGTACGGGGCCATGGTGGAGGGGGTCGAACAATACCTGAGTGACAGCTATGGCTTTTCCATCTGCACACCACCCCGCTTGATCTAGATACTGTGGCAGCTGTGTTGTTTTTCCACTGCCAGTTTGTCCAACGACAATCGTGACAGGGTATGTTTCGACGAGATAAAGCAAGCTTTGGCGATGTCTTGCAATTGGTAGTAATGCAGCCGGCTTGTATAAGGCTGGAATGAACGTGGAGGAGATTTCCAGTTCTGAAGCCATGGTTAATGTTGGTATCACCACTTTCAGTGATGTAAATTCAACTGGTCAGAGCCTTGAGGTTTAAGACAGAACACAATTGAGGCATATTGAATGGGTGACATAGGCCTGTTTGTGCAGAGTGTCTCAGGCCATCTACATTCAAGCTCAGAAGGAAGTAAGCTGCAGATTTACTGTAAGTTATAGTAAATTATTTTTTACCTCCTCTGACGAGGTACTGCTTCCAGATAATTGAGGCTCAGAGATATGGATAGTACATAGATTAGGTAAGGCGGGACTTCTGTATCACGTGCCACAAACGTCACTGCGGGTCTGAATCCAATCACAAGCAGCCGTTGTCTGGAGCTTTGGATAGGAGGTGGTCTCCAATAATAACGGCTATGACCCTGAATTACTTTCTGCCTACAGATACCTTTATCTAATACTTTGAATTTCACTTTGGAACGTGCGCCTCGCGCAACAGACCTTCATACTCTTTGCACAAGTACATTCATTCGACCAACTGAGATCGAAATCATTCCGAGCCATATGTCGGACGAGGACAAGATGGTAGGCTGTCATGTGCCCTTTGTGACATGATAACAACTAACCTCTCCCAAGACTCCCAGCAAATCGGCAGCTGGCCCTAATAGTCCTAAACCGGAGTCGCCGACTACTGCGCGTCCCTTGGATTTCGATGATGAACCTCAAGAAAGCGGTGTTACCACTGCCCCTCCGCAGCAAACTGGTACAGAAGCTGCCCCGCCGAAGCCACCCCGTCCAGTGAGCCCGCGGCAACAGGCAGAGAACACCCTCAGAGAAGCCTTTCCCACCATCGAAGCATCCATCGTCAGGGCAGTTTTGGTGGCCAGCGACTGGGATGTCGAACGGGCTTTTCATGCTCTCCTTGGTATGTGAAGCTGAACCAGTGCCGGTCTTGCGGTCATTAACAAAATGCTTTCTTAGGCATGACCGACCCCAACGCTCAGCAAGAAGAAATAGCGCCTCCGAAGCCTCCTCGTCCGTCTGCGACGCAGAGGCAATTGGAAGCGGATGAGTTGTATGCCCGTCAACTAGCCGAGCATTACAACCGTCCTGCACAGCAATCCCGGTGGGATGAATCTCGACATGACCGGGCTAGAAGAGGAAGTGATCAGTCGGAAGAGCGGGAATACAGTTTTTTTGACGGTATGCGATGCTACGCGATGTTACCAGCTTTGGTTTATAACTAACGCGCTTTGGCTTAGATGATCTTCCTGTAATCCGCGAGAACATTCGCAAGGGCTTCCTGGAGACTCAGTCCAAAGTGAACTCTTGGGTCCAGAATCTCAAAAAGCGACTTGACGGTGAAGACGTCGATGAGGGTCCAGCTAACCAGCGTTATGGTGAAGGCCAGGGTTACAGTCGACCAAGAAGGAGTGGCGATATAGGTCGTCGCAGCGGTGACCGCGAACGTTACGATGCTGACCCTCAGTTGTTGAGCGACGACTTCTCTGCACTGGAACTGAGAGACTCTGAAGGTCTGCCCCGTGTACCCTACTCTTTCTGCGACCATTGCTGATTTTACTGCAGCACCTCCACCCCAGCCACCAAGGAGACCACTTGCCAACCAAAATTTGTATAAATCAACTTCTCCTTCACCTGACAGACGTAAGGTATCTTTTCAGGAGGGTCCGCCATCCGAGATTGGCAATCTTTATGATACTTCCGACCCGGCCAAACGCACGTCCACGGGAGGCAAGTCGAGCAAATGGCAGCCGCTGGCCACAGTAGAGCCATCGCCTGTCGCAGAGAATGATCCGTTCAGCCTGGGAGACAGCGAAGATGAGAGAGATACTAAGGGCAAAGAGCAGAATAATGCTGAGGAAGCTGATCGTATCAAGAAGGCTACAGCAGAGGCGATGGCCGGTGAGCTTGGGTCTACGAAGGATGACAAACAGACACAGGCCGCTGGAAAGTCATAGTAAGCGGCCAGTCTTTGACAGCGTATCTTTTGTCAGCAGTTATCATCTGTTGCGTCTCCTTGTTTGTCCTGTCTTCCTACCACCGTTCTCTATTTGTTTTTATAGTCAATTCTATGATACCAGGGGTACCATGACGCAGGCATGGGAAATCGAAGTATTGAAAGCTTACAACTCTGAGCATCGATTTCAAAATACCAGTAGTCATGGTTATACTTCGTAAAGGGTATCGTCCTGTCCCAACCCAGATGAAGAAACGTAAAGATTCGCACAAAATAGACAGAGAAGAAATCAGGAAAGCCAGATCACCTTGACGCCACCAAGAACCATGATATGCCGGCTAGTTGAAGGCCGAGTGAAATAGCAAAATGTGTAGCTTGCAAAACAGCGAAGCACTTAGAAGCAATTATTCAGGCATTGAGTGCTTATTCGCAAGACCGCGCGAGGTTGCTGCAGCTTCCTTCCTAAGATCAGTTATAACGGTCTATACCAGTCAATGGCACAGCATTGTGTTAGTCCTAGCCCATCAATCACGCCGAGGCTTGTCTTTCCAACAAAAAAGAGGATAGAAACTTACCGCCAGGGCGTCAGGATTGACTCCATTTTCGATGAGAGACACACAGAGGGAGAGCTCTGTTCGGTCCAGATTCGTGTTCTAGACCAGGTTCACGCCATACGTCAGTTGACGTCCCAAACTGCTGCCAGACATCTTTGCCGAGAGAAGTCCACATAGCGCAAAGCCAGAACGGAGAATGGCGAGGTGAAAGCACATACCAGGAGGGTTGAGATTTCGTGAAGAATGTCGATGACTTCGCGGGCGGCCTGGCGCTTGTCCTCAGCTTGTGGGGGCATCTCCAATGATGATGGATGCAACAGCCGATATTTGACGTGCAGCTTTTGGGAATTTGATGGCCTTGACCTTGTATTTGAGAATGTAATCTAAACTGTACTCAAGGTACCTTACCTAAGAGTACCTAAGGGAGTTACCTAGGTACTGTTTATGAACGTACCTGATTGATCATCTGGTGGGGTCCTGTGCAGTTGGCGATGGACGAATTTGATTGGTTACTTCAGCTATCTCCCATGAGCTTTTCTTCTGCCTCAGACGTGAATACCTTTTCTGGGCGAAAGTTCTTCAGTCGGAATTCTGCTTGTTGCCAAAGGTACCTTAGAACTCTGAGCTTCCTTTTCTCCATTCTTCAGTGTGGTGTGTTTCGGATTACCTCCTTCATGCCGAATTAGCTAGGGGAGTAGCATCCCTGAAACACAGTCGTCTCCTCGTCTTACTGTCTCTTACAGTCCTGAATGTAGATCGTCTGGGAGACTTTGCAGGATCGACGATGTCAATCAATTTAACCGTATCAGACATCCATGCTTTAGGCAAAGATCAGGCATTCGAGATCCTCGCACAAATTGCACGGATTGAGAAGAAGACTTTTCCGGCTAACGAGGCATTCGCCTTTGGAGAGGACCTTTGGAGGAAGAAGCCTAACACCAAGGTCTTGTATGCGGTCAGCACAGCTGCCGGTGTACCGCATCGTTTAGTCGCCTATGCTGTCTATGTTCGGCAGAAAGGAGTAGCTTTACTGCACAAAGTCTGTGTTGTAGAGGCATTTCGTCGGCAGGGCATCGGGATGCAGCTTATGAACTACATTCGGCAACGTCTACAGAAGGAAGGCTGCCAACACATTCAGTTATGGGTGGACAAGGCCAGGGAGCCCGCTCGATCATTGTACAATCGCAGTGGATTTGAAGAACGGGAGGAGGTTGCCGACTACTACGCGCCAGGTCGTACTGGAATTCGGATGGTCCTTGACCTCGAACGCGATTGAGACCCTTTGGATTTCTCAGGCTTCAATTTTTGAACCCCTTGAGCTGGGCTTGACCGAAAGCTCTTCTCCTTGGGCTCCTTAAGATTCGAGATAGTTGCGACAATGTCTTTTCTTTATCTCTCTTATTAGTTCCCCTGGGTACTCCAAGGGATAATCTTGAGACATAGGTTCGCCTTTCCTCCTTCGCTCCTGGGCGGTAGTATCAATCCATACGCCCCTTGCAGGACCGCGCAAATCACAACGTGATTTTTTGTCCGTCGCGCGGAACGGAATTTGAACCAGTTCTTCGCTCCCATACTTGAGTGACGTCAAAAATATTCAAGCATGGATTCCTTGAGAGGGTGGCAGTTTTCGCGCCGCTCCTTTCTCAGATGGCTGGTCCTTGGTCGTAATCACCCTGAAGAAGGGTGGGTACCCTACGACGTCCTCTCATACATGTCGCCCTCGTTCGTGTCCTCGTCCGACACTCTTGTCCGTATCCAAGTGTCCGGTGTCTGGATGGTCTGACGATTAACCCAAGCGAGCTTCCTCCTCTGTGGCCCCAGAACAGCATTCGAGGCTTCGACGAGCTATGGCACTCATCGCGTTGGTCGTCCTGGCACTGCTCGTCGCTGTCAACGCAAGCCTAGTTTTAAACTATCCGGTAAATGCGCAATTACCGCCTGTGGCTCGAGTCTCACGGCCTTTCCACTTCGTCTTCTCACCAGGGACTTTCGGCGGTACGGAAGCGGGAACACAATATTCTCTGCAAAGTGCGCCTTCATGGCTACACCTAGACAGTTCAAGCCGGACCTTATCCGGCACTCCTACAAGTCTAGATACGGGACCGAACAAATTCAAACTCGTGGCCACTAATGGGCCAGACTCTGCAAGCATGGAAGTTACTCTGGTCGTCACGGCAGAGGATGGGCCGAAGCCTGGAAAGCCACTGCTGCCACAACTTGAAGCCATTGGTGCTACATCAGCACCATCAACCATCTTCGTGCATTCCGGTGATTCGTTTGTGATCTCGTTTGATCATGCCACTTTCTCAAATACTCGCACCTCGACCTTTTTCTACGGCACATCCCCCCAGAACACCCCTCTGCCATCGTGGGTTCGGTTTGACCCGTCTAATCTCGCGTTCTCCGGTACGACCCCTAACACTGGGCCTCAGGCATTTACATTCAATCTTGTCGCCTCGGATGTCGCCGGCTTCAGTGCAGCCACGATGAGTTTTGAGATGATCGTCAGTCCGCACATTTTGTCATTCAATCAGAGCACGCAGACTCTGTTCCTCACTAGAGGAAAGCAATTCAATAGCAGTCACTTCCGTGACATTCTAACCCTAGACGGCAGACAACCAGGAAACGGTGAAGTGACTTCTACTGAGGCCCAGGCTCCGAGCTGGTTAACCTTCGACAGAGATACTATCTCCTTAAGTGGCACACCCCCCGCCAATGCCATGAACGAGAATGTCACAATCTCCGTGAGGGACACGTATGGAGATGTCACCCGAATGATCGTCGCTCTTCAATATTCACAATTCTTCACAGAGGACATCAAAGAGTGCAACGCAGTGATTGGCGATGACTTCGTGTTGGTCTTTAACAACTCGATCTTGAAGAATGACTCAGTCCAACTCGAAGTGAATCTCGGTCAGCGGCTGCCCTGGCTGCGGTACAACTCTGATAGCAAGACTCTTTATGGACATGTCCCCTCGGATCTTGAACCGGGTAGCTTCCCCATCACGTTGACAGCTCGTGACGGGACTGCAAAAGACAGCGAACAGTTTATTATCCGTGCTGTGCGAGGGGACCGGCAAGACGGTAGCGTAGCTAAATCAGCGGACTCGAACAACGGCAGTGGTGCCCACGGAAAGAAAGCCGGCATCATTGCGACAGCGGTTGTGATTCCTGTTGTTTTCGTGATGGTTCTCTTGGCACTCTTCTGCTGTTGGCGCCACAAGCGCAAGACGAAAGCTGCAACGCAAGAAGAAGAGCAATTCCCGACTGAGAAAGACCCGAGACTAACTCCTTCGGATCTCCCTCCGTGCCGGCCATACGAAGCGGTCAAACCCGATGACCCTCCTATCATCCTCAGGAGCCCGTCGCCATCCTCAAAGCCGCCAAAATTGGAGCTGAGACCTTTGTGGAGCGAAAAATCGCTGGAAGAGAACAGGCAAGCGCACGATTCGGACGACAAGGAAAACTCTCTTTCACATTCGACGATCGAATGGGACTTTGCCCCCTTGACACGCCATAACCCGCAAGAAGAAAACCAAGCAGAGGATATTCCTTCCCAGAATAAACGACTGTCGTTCCAGAGCAGTCCCTCATTACATAGACGAACGACGGCCAATTCCACAAAACGGGAGCCCCTTAAATCTATACAGCCAAGAAGATCACTGAAGAGAAATTCGGCGGCCTCGTCTAGGTCCCGAAGGTACTCCAGGCGCTCAAGCGGCATTTCATCTGTAGCCTCGGGGCTACCAGTAAGGCTGAGCGGCGCAGGTCATGGAGCTGGAGGGCTCGGGCCTCCTGGACATGGAGTGGTTCGAGTGTCATGGCAAAACACTCATGCTTCTCTGCAAAGCGATGAGAGCAGCGTTGGAAATCTTGCACCCCTGTTCCCCCGGCCTCCCCCTCGTGGGAGAAACAGCGTGGAATTCAGGGTCCTCGACCATCCAAGACAGCTCACGGTGCGGGCCGTGGAGCCAGAAAGTCCAACTATTTCAGAATCCGATTCACTGGAAGCCTTCGTTCACTACCGGGCAAAGAATAGAAACTCCTCCAACCCCATGTTCTCAGCGCAATTCACACGCCGGACATCCTCTGGTCTCCGCGCCCTGGAGAGAGCTCGAAGTACGGCTAGTCGCGCGGACACAATGTCCAGTTCTATCTACAACGATGGTCGTCGACAGTCATACATCCAGGACCGTCCGGGTTCGATGGCGATGTCAGCAATGTCTGCGTCTGTCTATACAGAGGACAACCGCAATTCGGCCTTCTTGCAGTCACTAGGTCTAGAAGCCTCGAGCGTCCGACCTATCGTTCCATTACCCAAAAAGCAAAGCCAATCGAGCCTAGCGCAGAATTATTCCAAGATCATCTCCCCACTTCCCCGGTTCTTCAGCGAAACAAGCCTGAGTAGCAATCGACGGTTGGAGCACGGAAACCTGGTCGATACCTCAGACGATTCCCAGAACGTAAATGAAGATTCTTGTGGGAGTCGACGTCGATCGTACCGGGGCAATCCTTATCTGCAAGGAGATTTTAGCACCCATCGGTTTTCGCTGCGGAGGAGTCCTTCAACCTCATCGGTTCCAGTCGACAGTACCGTACGCCGGGTGAGTCTGGTGCGGTTTGCTGGCATGGAGATCGGGGGCGACCAGACCATGAATTATGACCAACGATGGAGAAATCGTCAGTCTGTCAGCATTGAGCAACCTGGCGACAGTGTACAAAGGGATGTTATAAACAGTGTCAGGAGCGACGCTACTTTTGTGTGATCTTGTCCAGTCAAATAGAGCACTTATCGTTTCGCACTTCTTGTGGCTGTTTTATCATTTCATCGTCAGAAGTTTCAGTGTTATAGCTCTGCCTTTTGGGTTTCATTGTCAATTACGGGTGTATTTTCGATTCCCAAGGTGGCTGTTCTGTTTAGATACATAGTGGCAGGCCACGGCGTTTGAAGCACTTGAAGAACCTAGTGAATTTCTCTACTTACTTCATTTCCAAGGTATTTCCGTCTCCTGTTTGGTTCATTCCTAAGAGATTTCACCTAGATCATGATGGTGTCATAAGTACAGCCATACTCGGTAAACAAGTATTAACCAACCTGGAATCATGGAAGTCTAACCATTTCTTCACTATGAAACTTGGAAGCCATCTATCTAGTCATTAAATAGATATGTAAGTGGTTAATAGATACCTATTTAGTACCTTAGCGTTATGCATATCAGGAGACGCCAGGTTTACACAGATACTCGGTAATGCACACTTCCGATGTTAAGGTAGGTAACTGTCGATAGATCATCCCATGCATGTATGTATGTATTAGTGCAGACACATGACCTCCTTCTGCTTAGAGACCGCTCTGGCCACCAGGCATCACCAAGGGTTGGTCATACACCGTCAAATGTGCAATAATAATGGAACTAGGAGATATAGTGCTTCAATAATAGTCATGAAGGACCAAACCTTGTACCTTAATCAGTTACTTCTGGTTCCTAGGTAAGCCTATGCTGAATTCAGAATACCGGCGGTGTCAGCTCTGCCCTGCCGACCGGAACACGCGACTAGAAGATTTCGAATTCACCTTTTGGAAGAGAATCAGACACGATGATATTGCCAACCTGGAAGTCGTTTATATGGCAAGATAGACCAGATAGAGATACCTACTAGGATTTTGTCACATATGCAAGGGTCTCTTATGATTGACAATATCGAGTCATTAATAAAGGCCTGTGTAGGTTCATTTACTACTCCCCTCAGACAGCATAAAGAAGATAATCAATAATGATAATGCCTGGGAGGGTACCTGTGATTAAGACACCTTGGTAGGTATCTCCTTAGCATTGGAAAATGTCAAAGGAAGCCTAAGGCAAAACCCAGGCCAGTACACCTCATGACATCGACCAATTCGAGATTCTTGAGCTGAAGAAGACGAAAAATAAAGGGCATTTCTTTCTCTCACATCTCTGCTTTCTCTCTTCACTGTTTAAAAAGTTTAGATGATAATCTTTCATCACTATCGTCATTTTCATCATCGCCATCATCATCAACATCATCATCGGTGGATCACTACCGCCACTTGGAGGTGATCCAGCTCCAGGTCTGTAGGTACTCCGTAGGTACCTAGGTAAGGTGGGCAGTAAATACCACCGCTTACTGTACCTTACTGCCGTACTGCCTGCCCTTGCCCTCAGGCCAGTTCTTCGTTTGTCTCTTCCGCCTTTTTCCTCCCCTCCTCCTCCTACGTCCCCTCAAATCGATCAACGCCGAGCCCTTCCCAATCCC